ACAGCAGGAGAACCCATGGCATGCTCTTAAAGTAAGTAGTGTTGCCATGTTCTTGTTTGCTTGCTTCTCTCCCAGCTTGCTTGCATGCTCTTTCTCCTTAATGACCTTCATCGCTGCTTCTTTCACAACGAATGTCTACTGTGATGTGTCCCTTTAGTGACTTGAAATGTCACTGGAGTTAACTCATTCATAAAAGCAGAGCTTTTCTTGTGTAGAATATAAGATAGTTGATAACTGGCTTTGTTATGACTAGGCCTAGTTGCGCCATTTGGCTTAGAAGTAGTGGAAACATTCAGGGTTTCTGAAGTGGTTCCAAGCTATTACACTAATCAATTCCTTCTCCATCAGCAGGGCCTACAAGCCTTGTTTATGTTCAGGTACCAAGGCATGCACATGTCAGCCCTATTTTGAGAAGAGACATAGAGAAATGGATGTTACCAACCATAGTGAAAATGTAATTACTGTTTCAGGGAGCTTGTAGTCATTTGCAGTGGGAAACAACAAATAGGAAAGCAGGGCTACAGGGCTGTGTCCCTGTGTGGGTGTGTATCATCTTGTTACAGGACCTGAATCATTGGCTGCTGAGTGATGGTAAATCTTCACGGCTGCTCCTCTGTAGCTCAACCAGGATCCCAGGGATTCAGCTCTGCACTCCTAACTCGTGTTTTCATTCTCCACAGCAGCTGTGTTGATTCTAGTAACTTATTAAAAACTGACATCATATCTATTGCTGTCCTAACCCTGCCACAGATTTGATTCTACACTCTTGAAAATTCTGTCCTGTGTGTGCCCACTGCAGCCATGGGCATCCAGCTCTTGAACTTGTATTCCTTGGTTTGCTTTCCCAGATGACAGGTTACTGCAAAGAAAACAGACATGTTTGGCTATCTGAGGCCTAAAGTTTGAAGTACACTGCTGCTTTTTCTAAAAGCAGGGATAGTCATCAGTGTCAGTTTGGGAGAACTGTTTTGATAGGTGTTTTAGGGTGGAGATAGATATGTTTTTGCCTGTCTGGCTTTCTGTGGCAAGGTCAAAAAGAAGTAACTGACAGCCCTTCTTATTTACTGGTGACTGATACTTAGGCCTTCCTGCCATGAGATGTTAGAGGGAAGATTTTATTCCCCATTTGTTTCCATGAGAGTTCAAAAGGTTCTGAATAGAAAAAGACACTGTTTCGGTGGTGACAGGAAGTTGTTCTTCTGTCAGTGATGTTGTAACATCCTTTATGCTAGCCTCCTCAGCGGGATCCAGATCTTCACAGCCTTCTAAATCTGAGCAGTGCCATCTTTCGTTAGTATTCAGTTCATCCCTCCTAGATCTTTCCAGAATGTTCCAGCGAAATGTAGCTGTTTCTCTCCTTGGGAAGGTGAATCTTGCTCATGAAAAATTCTGAGTAGCTGAATTTTTATGTGGTCAAAGGGATGTAAGCATTTGGATTACAAGGAGTTGGGAAAAAACAAACAAACAAACAACTTCTTAAGGCTCGGTTATCTCCATGCAGGGTTGGTGGAAAAGAACAATATCCAGTAATAAAACTTCTCAGATCCTATGAAAGTGAAGCCACTTTTTTTTCCTTGCATCCTCGTACTTCCTTCCAGATGCATCAACATTTGTCCCCACACTGAAAAGTTAGTTTGTTCTTCACTTTTGCTGAGTGGTTATCTGAAGCTTTCAGTGACATAAACGTGAATCTTTGTTACTACTTGTTTTTTCTCACTGTACAGAGAATTATTATTCCTAAGGAAAAAATAGGGGAAAATCAAAGGGAATTTTTGAGATGTGTAGTTAGAATAGCCATATCGTGTGTTTTCCCTTTCTAAGTTCATTACCTCTAGCACTCAGTGAAATGGTGCTGGACGTAGTTTGCACTGAAGAATCACATCAAGCATGCTGCAGTAATCGCTTAACTCTAACCTTGTAGACTCTATATTTACTAAAGGGAAAAAAACAACCTGTCCTTAAGTAATAGGCTGTATTTACAATTGCAGCAAGACACGTAAGTGGGCCTGGTACTGCAGGGAGTTCTGAATACTGATAAGTCATGTCATGTGACTAAAAAGCTGATTGTGTGTTGTTGATTTATGCATAGGAAAAACAATCTATTGGAAGGGGAATCCTTGTCGATGTCACAGCTCTAGGAATTAGCTTTAATGAAGCTTGACAGTATGGTTTCATGGTCCACCTAAGTTGATTTAAAACCATCTGTGGCTGGAAAGATAATTCTGTCCTTTTTCTATCTTGCCTGAATTGCCATTGCAGCTCATATGACTGTATAGTTAAGATTTCTTCTTTTTAGAATTGGTTTTTAGCTGTGACTGTATAATTCATAATGTCCAGGCAGGAAAGCAATTGGGAGCTACTGCAGATCTGCCTGTCTGGCAAGCAGAGCCGTTTGGCAGTCAATTGTGAAAAGCATGCCTATAAATCATTATTCATTGATGTTTATTTATACTGTTCTGTTATTCTCAGCAACGTGTGCAGGTGTCAGAAACGAGTTTTAAAATACAGTCATTTGTTTTCCAACTTCCTTTTCAGTTTTACTTGCAGATTTCCAAATAAAGCTAGAGATCTTAATTCGAGACTTACGAAGTTATACTGAAATAAAAATCTTAAAAGTTGATGAAGTCTCATTGAGTTCTGTAAGACAGTGCATCTTCTGTAAGCTCCTGTACTGCTGTGTACCTGACCGCTGAGCTTTTAGTGGAGTCACAGAACGTCCTGAGCTGGAAGGGACCCATTGGGATCATTGAGTCCAACCTGTGGCTCCATACAGCCCCAACCAGAATCCAAGCCCTGTGTCTCAGGCTGGGGTCCAAATGCTCCCTGAGCTCTGGCAGCTGATGGCCGTGCCCCCCGCCCTGTGGCCCTGTCCCTCACCCCCTCCCTGCCCTGGCACAGCCCCATGCTGTTCCCTCGGCTCCGTTGTTTTCACCAGAGAGCAGAGCTCAGCGCTGCCCCTCAGCTCCCCCTCTTTTTAGAGCATAAAATCATGGTGATAGTCCATATTTCTGCATTACAACTCATGGACTTCCTAATAGATGCCAGTGAAATAATCAGTTTAGAGCGTGCGGTTATTGAGAGGCAGCGAGTGACCTGATGTGCAATCGCTTTTAGTAGGGCTTTTGGAGGTGCATGCTTTTTAACCAAGTGCATCTGAACTTTGATTTACTTCCATTTGGCATAAATTAACTATGTCATTTTGCTTCCTAAAGAAGTAGGTGCAGTGCCTATTAACCGCAGTGACTGTTAGATAGCAGTCCGATAGAAAGATAGAGGAGGAAATGATGGTTTTGTTGTTTATGGCCAACCGTCCATAAAACACATATATTTGAGATATTTTTAACTCAGGTATGTACGTAAAGAGCATTCTGTGTTAATAATTAAAAAAAAAAAAAGAAACATGCTTGATTCTCATAAATAGAATGTATTAGGCTTTAAAAACCTGAAGAAGAGGTTTTGTCAGTGGTTTATTTGCTGGTGAGCAGTTTTCACTGTTCAGATGCTGACAGATGGTAAGAGTTGCTGTTTTCTTTACCTGGATGTGTAGCTCTGATATTCAGCTTGCCATGCTTCTCCTTTGCAGCTGTAAACCTGCTTACAGTCCCCTTCACTGTTAAAGCAACTTCCTTATCTCAAGCAAAGAAATACTTTGAAGTAATAATGTTATCCTAATATATTGGTAGAAGTTTACGTAATTCCATTATCTCTTTAATGGGCATTAGTTTAGATGGATCTTTTCCATTGTCCTCTGGCCCTTTCATCGTGAATTGGTTAGCTCAGTTCTAAATGAGCCAGTCTCTTATTTCTTCAAAGGGAGATGTCTTACAAAGGGTGGGATATTTAGGGAGCAATCTGTGCTGGCTAGTATTCTTTTCTTTAGTTTGAGACAGCTGTAATTGCAAACATCTCACAGATTGCGGTGTTGCTTTTTAATAGTTGTGATTCCTGACAGCAAATATCTTCCTGTTAAGTTTGGAGAATCTTATTTCTCTTAAGGTCAGGCAATCCTTTCATATAATTGCAGAAAGAGTCTCTGCCTATTTCTTGGTGGTGTCATTTTTACGTAAGAGTGCCTTTTGTCCCAGAATGACAAACGAAGCCTTGGATTTTTGTCTTTTTTCACACTTGTTTGGTGATCTTATGATTGTGTTTCCACTTAGGCAGCTAGTGGAAATCACAGAACTTGTTTGCTTGTTTCTCAAAAATCCTGGGATACGTTGTCTAATAATTCAACTTATTTGTTTCAAAGACTTTTTAAAACACTCTGTTGACGAAGGATTTGACTCAAGTTCTGGCTACTTAGATTTAACATATTACTGCATTTAGTTTGCTCGTCAAAAGTGGAGAACATTTAATATTTATTCATAACAAAGGTATTAGAGAAGCTGTCAATAAATTTTCCGTCATAATTGAATCACGCGATATCTAAATTGTTGATAATATGATCTGCTCGTTAAACAAAAGTGTCTGGAGAAAATGATGGATTAATTGACTGATGGCTAAGGTTTCTCTCAAATATAATGGTTTACCCAGTTTGATTTGATTTGTGTAAAATAACTTTCTCTAATAAACAATTTGCTCAGAGGCAATAGAAGAAATGAATGGTTATCAAACCAAACTTAATTAGTCTATCCTAGATTGATATTACTTGGGGAGTCTTCGTTTTAATTGTGGAAGGCTGGATGCAAAGAGTTTGGTTCATTATATTTTTCCTGTATAAACACTATTGTGTAACTACCTATGGAATATAACATGTGAATTCATTTTAATAAATGCTTGTAAAGTGAATTAGCTAATTATACCAGGCTAAAAATGATTCCTTTAATTATTTTAGATATTTAACCAGTACTTCAATTTTATTATTGTTATTCTGTAAGCATGATTTGTGTTGGCTCTGCCAAACTAATTAGAATATGTAACTTTCACACTTTCAGCAGTTTTTTAATGCTCATAGTCGATTCTTCTCTGAAGAACACATTTCTGTTTTCAAAATATTCCAGTGATTCAAATATGTTGGCATTCAAACGATGAAGAAATTTGTAGAACTGAGCGGTATTTGAAATACGAGGAACAACTGTTTGGAAAAGAAACTCAATTTCAGAAAAGTTCGTGGAGCTCAAGATCCTTGAATTTTGTCAAGTGAAGGAGAAAACCACTTTCTTTTCCTCAGAAATGGGACCAGAAAGTTAAATCCCACTGTTTTCCAAGGTGAAGTACATTCTTTGTGGCATCAGTATGTAGAAACCTGCACAAACCAGGAGCAGCCAAATAGCAATTGGTCGTAAAGGCTTCCAATTCATTTAGTCTGAATAATTTCCTTTTTCCTTAAAATAAAGAAATAAGTAAAATTACCCACAACATTTTCAAAGCATCTGCAGAAGGTTTGCAACATTTAAATTTAAATGTATGTGAGCAGGCTGTTGTTAGGAGCTGAGTTATGTGTGGAAAACAGAATGTTATTACTGAAGAGTAATTTAGGTGTTCTTAATATTATTCCTTTATGATTAATCTGGAGCTTCTAACAGCAGAAATTAATCTTCTTTATTGTTCCTTCTTGCACATGGAGTTTTCATTTCGACAGTCTCTTTTCTTAGTTGCCTTTAAATAGCATGGAAACTTAGTTTTATAGAAAGTAATACCAGTGATAAGGATCGTTCAGAAAATGAGGGCGGTGGTTGCTTTGTCTGTTGGTGGTCACTGAATGTGACTGCTCTGCCTCTGAGAAGTGGAGGTGTATATGCATGAACTTCTGCCATGAAGATGTCTGTCCTGATAACTTGAGTGACAGAAAACTGCTGCCAGGTGTCAGGATAGGCACATCATTGGAACAGAAAGAGGATCGACTTTGGCTTTATCATTTAACGTATTTTCATCATTTTCTTCTGTGATACAGCTACTTTACATTGCTTTATATTGGGATTATCCAGTCACGTGAAGGATGGCTCTTTAGCAGGTATGTGTACAGTCATTAATGTGACTCAGTTTCTCAAGAGGGTTTTTCAGAGCAAGATATTGAGAATTTATAGTCTATGTTGAATCATTGAAGACTGATGGAAAATTAACTTAAAAAGTAAAGTCAGCAAGTATCCGCACTGTACCTGCTTATCAAACTGTGTTAAATCTCATTAAAATCAGAGGGGATCTCATTGCTGCCTTGAGGTAGGGCCACATTTTCACTCCCAGGATTTTGGGAGAAGCCTGCTGTATGGTGTGTCTCCTTGTTCACAGAGGCAGGAGTATTTCTCATGGGAACTTACAGGAGTTCTGTGCTAGAGATCTGGAATTCTGGAGGTCCCGAACTGAATCTTGTTCTTTTGTTCTGATAATAAAAACTCTGCCTTTGGCTTTGGAAAAAATAAAATTCATATTTTTCAAATTTTGGTTTAATATGATTTCTTTATAATATTAAGTTCAATTAGTATCTCCTAATCAAGAAAAACCAAACATATGTCAGCTGCTGGTGATCTACCTCCCACAACTCAGCAGTGCAGTACAGAGACCACGTGGCCTCTAAATGATGTCCAAGAGAGAGGTTCTTGAATATGGGATTTACTTTTCAATTCACTGCTGTTGGATGTAATTCCGCCAAAAATATGACTTTAAGTTGACCTGCCACACTGAGCCAGTAAGTCTTCTGATAGAAAACCTGCTCAGGAGCTTGAGTGTTGTCTACAATGGCATAAGATTTGCAAACCTCAGGGACTCTGAGAGCTGAAAAAAGGAAATGGGGGGCCTTTTTGGGCAGCACTTTATTTTTGTTGTAAGTATGTGGTGTAGAAATTGGGGTTGAAATGTAGATCTCATGATCCGTCCTTAGTACGTATTTGCTGAACCTTTTGCTTTTTACAGAACGCCAGGTAATACTACTTTCTTCCACAGCCTGGCAGCATATTTTCTGCCTCATCTTTTGGCTATAGCAGTTGAGTAGTTAGAATAAATCCCAAAGATAGGGTAAGACTGGTGTCTGCTTTTTCTTATGGTTGGAGGAATTCAAGTCTTCATGTCTTCATAGCATTTTGTGAAGTAGCTAGAATGGGAGTTACCCTGTGTTGGAAGTGTCCTCCTTTCTTCTTGGTTAATCCATCCTGTTATGCAAGTAAAAGTGATGGATTGAAGAAGAATGAGAAAGCACCTCTGCACATAGTGGTTATCTTGTTTGGAATGAGAAGAATACATCTGCATTTAAAACTCATTGGTTTACATATAAAATAAAATGGCCCGGATAGGGATCTGAACCAACATGCTTGCCAGTCATGGAAGGCAATAAATCAGGGTGTAGGAAGTTTTATTGTAGTTCCACCTAATATTTATCATTAGAAGAATTATTAGTGTTAATTATTTTATTCAGCACGCTGTACCATTTTTGCACACAAATAATTACGTCATTCAGCAGTTCTACTCAAAATGTGTGAGCGAAAAGCTCCTGTACAAATTTGTGTCTCAAATGCAGGAAGTAGATTGCTTGAAAGATGTAAAGATCCATGGTACGTAGTGATCTTTACTTAAAAACAACAAAAAAAGAACAAGTCTAAATCATGGAAAATAATTGGATCAAATATGTGAGTTTTATTCCTGCGGCACCTAAAAGCTGAGATCTAAAATTAATATGTAAGAAATATTAAGGGGTATTTATATTACTGCAGGAAGTGATACTGTAAGGAGTGTTTTCTCTAGGATAAGGCATGAAAATGTTATATATGAAAATGTGTTCATATATTAAACTTGGATTTTATAGTGTTTATTCTTTCAGCAAGAGCAAATGTAATTTGCAGATCAAGTTCTTAAGTTGTAATAGCTAAGAAGTGCTTGTGATGTGCTTGGCTCGTGTTGTACAGTAATTGATGTGCTGAGTGTGTTTCACTTCGTTGACTAAGAAAGGCTTAAGCTGTGATAGTCTGTGTAATGTGCCTGTTTGTCCACATGTACTGTATAACAGCTGCACAACCATAAATTGCATGTTCTGTTGGTGTTCTGCAGTTAACATCACCACCACTGTGTACAGCAGGTGTAATGGTGATGGTTGTTCGGTTTCGTTCGATTCAACTGTGGCAGTTTCTACTACAGAATTTCAAAACTCACATGGATGAGAGCTGATTCTCGTTATGCTTCCCGAGTGTTCTGTGAGAACATCTGTAATTCCTCTGGAATGCATGGTTCTCTCCGTGGTCTCTGGTTGTGACACAATAGTGAAGAATCCACACCATAAAAATGCCTAGAAATCTGTCCCAGTTTTCTTCTGTGAGTCTCTGTAATAAACCAAGTGTAAGGAACTTGTGCTAATGTTGTGTTTTTACACAAGTCAGGAACTTGGATCCTTCAAACAACCTTTCCATATCAGAGTCTTGTTGGAACAAAGTGGGCTTCAAGAAAAGTTGACCTGTAACAAATGATAGCTCTGTATGTTGTTGCTTTGATTTTTAAAAGCCAACTGTATGGTTATTACTTAAAAGAGCAACAACTCTGGTTTTATTCTGCTTGGAGATTTTTAATGAAATGTGTTGAAAACTCACTGCATTTTAATAATAATCCTAGCGTGGTTCTACATAGCCTGTCACAGCATCGTCCTTTTTCTCTACTGTCATACCTCCTGTCATCTGTCTGTGCGGTGAAATCATAGCCTGGTCTTCAATTAGTTATTCTTACTGATAAACGTGAACTGACCATATTGCTTATACAAACCCAGGTACATACTCTTCTTTTCTTATTTCTGGGCCGGAGCACAGAATACTTGCTTACTTTTGTGGATGGAGTTGTGCAGAAATGAATTGTTTCCACTACAAACTGCAAATATGGTGTCGGGGCTTGAAGACAAGACTGAGCAGCCCCTTGGCACCTCCAGAGAGCAAGACAAGACTTTATCCATTTTTTGCTTTTGGAGTTTAGAACCCACTGAACATAGAGTCCTTCCTCTAACACTTGTGAAGATCTAATTTATGTATTTGTTGTCTTTTAAACTAGAGCAATCTTTTGTAATTAGCTTGGCAAGCTGAACCAAAATTTGAAAGCCATCTGCTTAAATAAACTCACCATTAGTTACAGCAAACTGCTGTTTTCACCCTTGGCCACCTTTGTACCTTATTGAAGATTTACTCTCACAGTTCATTACAGAGTTACTTGCAGGCTTCCAGTCACCCTGGAAGTTTGGCTGTACATGTGTTGGTTTCGTGCTTTTCCTCAGGATACAAGCAACCATTTAAAAGGTTGAAGAAAGTAATTAGTTTTAAGATTGAACGTGATAAGTTTATGAATGAAGTAATATTGTCTGGTTGCCTCTAGTAGCAGCGGTCTGGATAACAGGCCAGAGGAAGCCTCTTCAGGGGCTGTATTCTGTAGCCATCTTTTCATGTACGTAGATATTCAAATGCAGAATGGTCTCTGGTTTTAAATACTGTGTAGATAATTAGGAGTTATTTTCCTTTGGTTGTAGGGGACCCTTTGGTTGTTTTTTGGTTACCAGTGTAGTTGCTTTGTATTCAACAGCAGCTGTGAAGGTAATACTTTCTTCCTGGCTGAAGCTCAGAATAAAATAGAACCAATCCTTGTAATACTTGGGTTGTATAATAAATGGCATTTGAGAGTAAATAGAGGAGATGACTGCAAGCTTTAATGGAAAAAAGGTTTTTAAAAGGATTGTGTCAAACATAGTACAATAACTCTAAAATAAAGGGGGTTAAAGATGCAAAAGTGAAAGAATGTGCTCTTACCTGTTGCCAAATGTTTTTTCATGTATGCATTATACCTCTTTTTTGTAATGGTCAGTATTGCCCTTATTGTGTACTGTTTACATGTCTGACTTCTTGTTTGGATTTTACTTGGTGATTTGGTATTAATTTTTAATGTGAAAGCACTTAGCATTAGGAGTTTGACATTTTGTCTGACCTTAATCACCAAGAGGATCATGAGAGGTTTATTCAGTGGGAAGAGAACTGTTACAGCTCTGACAGAAATGATGGGAAATAAGTAAACAGCCTTTTAAATCTTCACCAGAAATCAATAGAGTTTAAAGATGATGGACGTTGGTGTTTTTTGCTGCTTAAGGACTTCAACCTTTTACGGGAAAATATCTTCTCAGAGTGTCAGCATTTTTTCCCCTAGCACAATGAATCACTGCTGCAAATAGAACACTCTGCATAGAGCACTTTATCATTATTATAAAGATGATGTTATACACGTCTTTCTATGATAATGCAGCTGTTTTGTGTCTCGATGTGGAGCCTTGCGGTGCTGTTTCATAATGTTGCTAATTACTGGCTGCTGTAGGTCAACACAATAACGTTGTGTGCGTTCGATAGTGTTTAAGCTGATGAACTCATCACGTCTTTATTCTGTCATAATGGCTGCTGTTCATAACCTTCTCAGCTCCAAGTATTTTCCCCTCGCAGTAGAAACGGCTTGATTTAAGTGAGAGTTCTCAACTTCTTTTAATAACCGAGTATGAAAACTGCTCTGAAGTCATTGCAGTCGTTGAGGAGGGCTGCTGGCTTTGAGCAGTTACACAGCAAACTGTGCAGTTTTTGTGAATGATTTATTAGGCATCAGGATGGTTCCGTATTTGGCAGTATATCTAGAAACAGCACTGTTCAGACCCAGGTATTCATACATTTGCATTATCGTCAATCATTTGTTGTGCCATTTGTTTTTTTATTATACAGTATTGGATTGCATTTTAAAACAGCTAAGTATATAGTAAATAATGCTCAAATACAGTAAAGTTGCTGCTAAATAGTAATTGAGAACTTGACTTTCAAGCTTTCAGTTAATTTGTTTGCATCCTTATGCAGCCATTTACTCTGAATAAAGTGAAGGGGATTTAATTTTGATTTGTAGACAACCTTTTATATTGGAAATAACTGTGGCAACTGTAGTTTTATGCTAATATCTAAGTATGCCACATACACTGCTAGACAAAATCGTCCCTTAAGACCTCCTGATATGAAGTGATATTTGATTTAA